CAACCTTGACAGGATGATGTTCCTGGTAAAAACGCAGCAGATTACTTGACGCTAAGCCGTTTTTTTTTGTGGGTTTCTGCAGGGGAAACGTGAGCAGGGGCTATTGGCGATTATGTTGTTGTTGGTTTTTTTGTTGTTGTTTTGTAGTTTGAATTGAGCTGTGTGCATGAATGGACTGAGTTTACAAGGAGGCAAACCAACATGTAACTTTACATGATCTCACTTTCTTTCTCCCAAGTTTTTGTTTCTATCAGGTTTTCTCAAAAAGCTTGAAATAGGTAGGCCTTAGTTACCAATGGTGTGGCCACATATTACCCATTGGGACATTTTATCATATTATTTTCAAATTAAGAATATGATTTGCAAACTTCTGAACTGACAGGGTAACCTGGTTGATTCATAAGTGTCTGAAACAAACTGCTCAGTACTTAAGCAAACTAATACAGGTATATTATTAAATGACAGTGAGGACAAAAAGTCATTTTAAACACAGTGTGGCTTCAGGCCAAAGTTTGAAGGTTGTAATGTGTACCTTACCATCTTTTTTTTCATTTCTAACTTTCTGATTTCTTCTCTTCTCCAGCTGTACCGGCAGCAGCATGTGAACACTCTCTCAGGTTGGACAGCTTGTTCAAGTCGAATGCTATTAGTTCTAGGTCAGCGCCTGGGCTTTCTCTACACCCCAACAACACCTTTTCACCAGGCAGGGAATCCAACCTCCATTAATCAGAGCGGTGACAGCCCATGGATGTCAGTAAATATGTTTCCCTCACTGCCTCTTTTCCCAACACTTTCCTTACCCACTCTCTCTTTTGGTCCTCTTATTGTTGTTTCCTCCTTCTCTGTGGGTTTAATGTTGACCTGTTCTCTGCTTAGTCTTTATTATTAATATCAGGACAGTGGAAGCCTTCCACTGCACAGTTAAGTTTGAGGCGTAATGCTTTGGTTTGGTAGAAAGAGAAATAGAGAACATATTGACAGAAAAAATGCATCAAGGAGAAGAAAATTGCTTCAAGCTGCAAAATGAAACTCTTCTGCTTGTTCCTTGCCACACAAAACATTCCTTTACAACCAGCTTGGACTAGAATATTTGATATGCACATTTTTCATACTGAACAGAAGTGTTGGCCAGGTGTTTATGAATGTTGTTGGAACAAAGAAGGAGACAGTGTGACAGTTCCCTCTCCTGCACGGATGGTAAAGTTGACAAGGGAGGATGAGTGCTGGCTAGTGAAGTGGCTCTTGTTTGTGTGTACGTGTTTGTGCACGTGTGACTGTGTGTGAGAGGGTGACATATAGGCAGAGGGCCAACAGCGGACAGTTGGAGAAGTGGGTGCACATCTCTGCTGGCATTCTGTGCCGCGTACCTGCTGCTGTCCAGAGACAGCTGTACCATAGCCACCCGTGGACATGCAATCAGGTTCGTGGCAACTGAACGCATGATAACGCTTCAGTTTGTGCTTTTCTACCAACTACCAACCAACGACAGGCACCCCTGTGAAAATAACTAAACTTAGAGCAAGAAAGAGCGGGAAGAAAGTGTAGATGTGACAGCGAGATTAGGAATGACAAACAGATAAAGAGACCATAAAGAGAAGCACAGTGTGAGGACTTTGAAACAAATGGTGACCTTTGCAAAGATGGATTTGTGTACCAACTAATGTCCTCGCTGTCACACCTGCTGCAGCGTGACCTTCACGTGGAGACCAAACTGACAGTTCTCATCTGTTCATCTCTGAGCCAACTCGTCAGGCACCAAGTCATTTCATTGAACAGATGAGACGTGTTTCTGTCTCTGTCAATGCAAGGAGTCCTTTATTCCACAGCATACAGTCACGTTCATTTAATCACTGTGCTCTTTAATCATATGGGACTACACAGCTCATTGACAGGCACAAGTCATAATGGTCTCTGTTGTAATGAACCCATTCTGTTTGATAATATTTGTGTCATTAAATATGTTTGTATAGGTAATGGCAGCAGCAATTAGTTAAAATAAGTGTAAAAGTTTGGGCACATGGGATTCAGCACATATCCCATGTGTACTTAAAAAAAACTAAAATACTATAACGTCTTGAAGGCCCAGTCGCTGACCAACAGTAACACCATCTTTGGTCAGAGTCAGAAACCTTTGTTTGCTGATATCCCCCTTAAATGGTAAAAGGCCTTGAGCTTGTTTCGCGCTTTTCTAGTCTTCTGACGACTTAAAGATGCTTTTTACACGGCATGTCACATTCCAATGATTCACACACTGATGTCACAGCCTGCTAATGTAAAGTGTCCATCAGTATTAACTCATCATTCATACACCATCATTCATACACCTCCCAGTTTGTGGTCAGTGTCTTGCCCCGAAGACACATCGACATGTGACTGCAGGAGCTGGGGATCAAATCATCAACCTTCCAGTTGAAGACGACCGAATTCACCACTGAGCCTCAGGTGCCCCCCTTCTCTCCCTCTGCTTCCTGTCACCTCTGTAGTGCCAAACATTACCATAGGAGAGAATATGTCAAAAACACATAAAAGGCTCACTTAGATTAAGGTTTGTAACAAACACAACATTTAAAGAATGAATATTTTACTTAAAAATTATTTTGCTTTTGGTTACAGTGTCTTTTTACATGCAGCCTATCCATATACACACCTATCTTTATGTATAGACGCTTCATGTATATTTATGTACAGATGTGTTATCTTTGTTTTACTGTACACCCTCTCTTGTCTTCCTCTGTTAGCAATAAATAAACTGGGAGCAATTTAAATCACATAGTTTCCTCAAGAAGTGCACTGTACTGAATTGACTGAATATTTGTGTGGGGACCATCATTACTCCCTGCAACCAGCAGGTGTCAGCGTTGAGCTAAAAGAGGATTGACATCAGTTTCTTTCAAAAGCCTTCTGTGTGACTTCATTGTTAAGACTGAAAGTAGAGGACTCATCAGTCCTAAAAAACGTTTTATACATTATTAGATGATGGATAAATAAATGTCGGTATCATCAGGTTGGGGTATTTATATTTATTCAGACTAAGAAGAGAGGTTTACTGTAAGGATGAACTAATACAAGCAGGTTTCTCTACTCGTATGGTTCTATTTTATAGGATGATTAAGAAGTTAAAGGGATGACATTTATAGTTCAGACATATAATGAAATTATTAAATAGCATAACATACTGAACCTGACCATGTACCCCAGTCCTCTGCTCTTGACCCATTTTAAAAGGTTTCTGTCTGGAGCTTGTCTGTGTGGAGTAAATCATACAAGACCATGATGATTTATAAATGATTTTCAGCGCAGGGCACTCAGGCAGGACCATTCCCCAGTTTCTCCAAAATCATCTGATATAACCTCCGGACCATGCTCAAGATCCATCCAAATCTTTATGTAGTTTAGAGCATTAACATAAACTCTTTTCAATATACTTTATCTATTCATCTGAGAAGCACGACTATAAAATACACAACAACATACCACAGGATAGTTAAAGTTTTCCTCAAACAAAAAATGTTCTGTGTGAATTTTTAGAGTGTATACTTTCTTCAGTCTTAATTCAAAGGAGATGGTCTCTGTCGATTTTAAACCAACCTAAAGTCATTCTGATTAAAGTAATACTCGTAACAGTTTACAAATGGTCAATATCTCTAATTTGCTGACAAGAAAACACTTACCTTAAAAAGTTACCTCGGGTTATAAAATCAAATCTGTGTTCTAACATTTCTCACAAGATGACTCCACAATTAATGCATGCGCATGCAAACGCAGTTGAAACCAATTCAGAGATAATCAATGATTCATATTTGACTCGCCTGAAAACCACAGAGTTAATTATTAAATGTATGTGTTGTCTGGAGTGGAGCTCAGACAGAAGAGACTGCAGACTGCAGAGATGTAATGTAGAGCTGGCAGTGGATGAGCCTCTGCTTCAGGCTTTGATGCCATCACACAAAAGAGGCACACACATCTGCTAACTCACTCAAATAAATAAAAAGGAACAATAAAACTACAATATTAAATGTGTTTTAATAAAACCCTGATTCCAGATAGTTCAGAGAGATCCATCAAAATGAAACACTTTCTTGCTTCAGTCCTGCCCCCCCTCTTCACTTTTTTTTTTTTTCTCATAGCACCACATATTTTAGTCACTACAATGAAGTGGTGTTGAAAGCCCAGCAGGTTGTCTAGCATCTCTTTACCTTGAGGGCATCAGAACAAAAGCATGCATTCATTTTTGAAGCCATGTCGTGGATCTGTGACAGCACAAATGGTTTTGGTTTGCATTAGCTTGTAACATAGCATGAAGTGGAGAAACAGGAGTGTCTTCTGGGCCTGTAATTAAAGGTTTCTGTCTGCTTCTGAGGACAGCACCAAATTATCCAGCACAGACAAGGAAACCCCCGAACAGGAGACTAAAACCTGAAATGTCTCCTGAGAGAGCCAAAAACTTCCTTCAAGGTCCTGTGTGTTACTTTTTTTTTTTTATAGCTGTGTTCTTGACACCCTGTCGACAAAGCTAAGAGCCTTGTCTTAAACGGGGAAGTAGTTTTCTTGCAACAACAAAAGAATCCCATCCTGCTGTAGTTTTGGACATTTCAGTGTATCACTCACTGTAAATATTTGCTGCGGACAAATTGAATAAAGGCTGTTTCTATAGCATGCAGTTATACACTTTTTCTGACACCTACCCCATGGCAGCGGTTTAAGCCATTTCAAATAACTTTATAGAAATGACCAATCTTGGTGCTCATGGTCCTGTTTTCTTTTGTCAAAAAGAGGCATCAGTATTTAAGTTTGTTTCATGAACTGATCAAAACGACTCACAGGAGCTTTAAAGTACAGTACACGCTGAGAAAACCTTTTAAACTAAAGAGTTAAGCAATTTATTTTGTTATTGAATTGTTTGTGAATCAGACTGAACATAACAAAAGCCTTTTCACTGAACACCAGATTGGGTTTTGAAATGTATGTTTTGCGCTATTTTCCTCCAAGTACCCAACGTGTCACCACAAGATAGATTTCTTTTATTAATAGATCAACAATAATAAACAAAAATATAAAGCATCACATCAACTTTTTTATAGGCAGAGAAAAATAAAGAGTATACTTTTATACAAGACATCTAAAATGACCAATACAGAGCACGAAAACATAACCATATATCACATCTAATAACGGTTACAGTGAGCAAATTTAATAAAGATAAGGGGGGGAAAAGCACAAGCACTAAAAGTTGAAGAGTGTATAAAAATGACAAATCTGCTTGCAAAATATTCCCTACTGGGTAATTACACCGGCCATGAGCCCATTAGGATCAGGACTGCTGCATTCAAGAACACTAGAAGCTCTTCAAAGGGCTCACGTGTCTCAGATTAGTAGATGCTACCGTTTCTGAAACAATCTCACACTATTGTTTGAAGGTTTAAAAGTTCGACATTTTAAAGAGATCAAAATCTACCAGCTTCAAGAGTCAAATCTTATGGCTTTGTATCGCTCTTGAGTCCCTAAAATGTTACAGATTAGCACCACTGGGCTGGCATTAACATCAAAAGCTGGTTATTGTAAGCAGGTTCTGAAAAAAAAAAAAAAAAAAAAAAAAAAAGAGTCCAACGGTTGTCCATGTCCACCCACTGTGTCTTTGTGTAATGTTGTAAAGGAAATCCGTCGACTTCCAGCACAGTGGGTGGGTTGAAGAAAAAGGGACCAAAGCTAAGAGTAAACGTTTCTATTCCAGCATTGGCTTCCCCAAAAGTGACTCAACTTTTTTGTTCTTTTTGAGCCTTTTTTTTTTTTTGTTCTCATATTTTTAAAAAATCCATCAACATTATAAAGGCTGATGGTCGTACTATATCACATGTATTTTATGTACTACATGTACATAGACCAAAAAAGAGGGAAATTAGATGAAGCCTCTATTCATCTAAACACTTCCCTTTGTAAAACGTTGTGCTTTATTCTGACGCTGCCTTGTCTTCACAGCACAGGTAGAAAAATACAAGGTTCATATCCTACGCCTGCCCGCAGTATCTCCTGTCATGTCATGCAAAAACACTGAGAGCAGACAAAGTCTACAACACATCATCACCTTTTTGTGCTACAAAAACAATTGGTATCAAAATAAACTGAAGTCTTGAGAGTCATGCATCCGTTGTTTTGACTGATTTCTGTGCAGAATTCATCTGTTTGTGTTGACGGTCCTGAGTGTGCAAAAAGTCAATATCACTGATGGCTAAAAGTAAGAGCAATGTTACGGACTGCTGAGAGAGAAAATTAAAAAAAGCAAAGGCATCTTCCTGCTCTCTTTACACAGCTTTCTGCAGAGTTCTCCTATCACACACAAGTACTATATCTACATGTTGTGTGTTCAGAATTCTTACTAAATGTTAGCAAAATGTAACGTAATGTTGTCCAGTTCTGTGTACAGGTCTGTTAAACACGATACCTACATCATAATACTCTGCAAAAAAATGGTATTGCATATTGGCAAAGCTTCCTGAAATGAACGTAGAGTATATTTCACATTACACTCTGACAAGAACTACATACAGAAGTACTGTACATCCCTTGAGTGTACTTTGCCAACGCCACTTTACAGGAATAAGAACATTTTGAAAACGTGCATCATCATCATCGTCATGACCTTTGATGAATGCAAATATCTTCATGTCATCACATAGGGGCTGAAAAAGTTGTATCTACTATCTGCTTTACTGGATCCTGAAGCATCTGGCTGCTTATCAATCTGGTACATAATTTAAACTAGTAAGTGTGGTTTCAGCTATGATAGGTGGGAAAGGTTTGATCAATAGTTTGACTTGTAGTTAAACATCATGTTATTAGCCCTGTCAGAGTAACAAAGGCTGCATAAAACGACATTATAAGAGCATTGACAAATACTCATGTAGACTTGCTGTATTTCCTTCAAGCAGTGTTTACAATCGGTGGCTGAATTGTCCTGGTTACTCATTTTCAATCTGTCTTCATAAACGATCAAATGCCCAAATACAGAAACAAAGTCATTTGAAATGCATGTAACAATATCTAAAGTATGGTTTATATGCTTAAAAAATGAAATTCTTTTTTTAAATCCACTGTTCACCTTAACATCTGTACAAAAGTTATTATAATAATGAAAAATAATATAAAGAATCTCTTAATTGGAAAAATCTCCTCTCTTCATTACGGCCTTTCTTGCACTTTGAAGCCAATGACTAAAACGTTTCCATCAAACTGCCAATTAACCAATCAACATCATCATGGTGCTGCTTTACTGCACTCGTCCCCTTTTACCACAAACAACATGAATATAAAAAGTGCTACTGACAGCCAGTGGGGAGGAGGGAGTAGAAGATACAGATTGAGGATTGGCTGAAGGAGGGAGGGGCTGGTTGTTACCATCTTTCTGAACATTTGAAGGTGTTTTTGTCTGCATGCAGTCTTGTGTTTTTTGAGTCACTGACAGGAATTGGGTAGATGGAGAGTTTTTTTTTTCCTAAGAGACGCTGGAGCAGCGGATGCTAGGGGAGCCCATTTGTGTGAGCACCTTGTCGAGCCACTGCAGGGGGCCGTTCAGGTGCAGCTCGATCCAGCAGGGGGTGCTGGTCACCGTCTGTCGCCTTGGAGACACACAGAGAGCAGACAGAAGTGTTAATAAACAAAGAAACTGTCAAGAGCAAGAGCTTTGTGAGCAAACTTACTGAGTCGAGTTTTACTAAAGTCAAACATGTCTACTTTGATTACAGGCCCCATTTAAGGCTGAGGCAAGAGGCTGACTTTAGAAAACAAACCAACAAAGAACAAGAAAGTGGTTAAATGTAGGTTTGAGTTTCACTTGAACACATTTAACTGCATGTTAAGAACAATTTAACCTTTCTTTTCTACTCTTGCTGTCAAATTTTTACTTCGGCTTAGACCCTACACTCTTATTTCATGTCTCCAAAGTTTTGTCTTTATTGGTTTAAGTATTTTAACAAAGCCTCCCTTTACACAATACAAACGTTTAGCTGACTTTAAATAAATGGGATGAATTAAGCCAAAGCCTGCTGGCCTCTGTGTCTTCCTAAAGTTCAAACAATGCTTCAGAGAAGACCTTTCAAAAAGTTTCAAACTGACTATTAGAGAAGGAAGTTGTTTCATAAACATGTGAAACTGTTGGAGAATATACATTTGAAAAAACTTGGGGGTGATGTAGCTTTTGAAATTCTTCAGAAGGCAAAATATAGAGAAATGTTTCAGACATTCAACCCCTTGATCTCCATACCCTGTGGCTCCTTTTCTAAATCCCCTGACTGCTTCACAGAAAGAGGAGAGCAGAGGAGAGGCCGGAAAGAAGAAAAACACAGACACAGGATACAATATTGAGTTTGTATGCTTTAAGAAAGAGGGGGTAGATTTCCAAAAAGATTCTGGCTCCAGTGTGCTGTGCTTTACCCCGATAACCCTGGGTGATAACCCCACCATTTCCCACAGTGCTTTGCTTTTTTTCCCGCCTGACAAATCATGTTTGAAACCAGAGAGTTGTGTGGACACATCAGTAAGTAAAAGAGGAAATTAAGTCTGTTTTTAGAGAACTGATCATTTGGTTAAAAAGAAAACGTTCTATTCATCTTTCTTGCTTATGTGTATGTCGTCATACATGGCATTGGCATAGCTGCAGGATTTCCTGGTATAGCTGAACTGTTTCATGACTACAAAAAGGAGACTGGCTGAATCATTAACAAGCAAATATTCAAAGATATTATAATCAGTTTTAGTTCAGGTAAAAGGGGGAAAGGGTTAAAACTACAAACGGCTGGGAAAAGACTGGGGACTAAGGTGTGGGTGGAGGTAGACACGGAGGAGGGCCTGACTGGTCCAGTAACCTGAATCCTGTTTTTAAGTGTCTCCACATGTCAGAGTTTGGTCTGGGCAGGACTGTGAAGCACTCGCTCTCGGCACAAAGGTTTCCCCCCTTGGGGAAGCCTCCTATGCTGAGCAAACTTTAAGCCAATCATCTACTCCCCTTTTCCTTGGTCTCCTCCTCCCTCACTATCAGTGAGTCAGACTGAGTGGAAAACAGGGAGGCGATGGAAGAGGGAAAGTCTGACATCTCTCTTTTTTTGACAAAACACATGTGTCTTTTTAAAAATAGTCTGGTGCCTGTTTGTGTTGATGAGGCCTCAGTGATGTCATACAGAGGATCCACCAGAGTGTGAGCAGATGCCTGGCTGCGGGGGCGGCTGGATTGCGGGATGTGATTCACACACTTTTTTGTTTCTATTGTCTGCGTTTACATAAAGGCCTGCTGAGGACTTCATCTTTGCACAAAGACTCTTATCATGTCACGGAGAAGATAGGTGTAGGTTGTATTATTTTTTAGGCAGTGACGCCCTCTTGAAGTTGGCGTTAGACATTTAGGACACAACTTTGTGGTATTCAATAACCCAAAGCTGCCTGTGACCACAGCCTACCTGTACTCTGCTCCCCAGCCCTTTACAAAGCTCATTCTGATGGTACACATCCTAGTGAGCTGGTAAACAGCTTCAAACCCCTGGTTGACCGACTGTGCCAGCAGGGCAGCAAACTCCTGGTTGTTGAAGATCTTCAGGTTACATCCTGTAGGAGACAACAAACACACACGTCAGGCCACAACTTTTATATGAGAGTGACTCAAAGAGCTTATTCAGAAATGACTCCAATACATAAAACTGTCATCTCCATGACATTGAGGGAAGAGTGTGAGAAAAGGGCGCTGATGAAAAAGATAGGACAATACTCCTTGTGTAAAATACATCTTTCTGAGAACAAACCTCCAGAGATTTAAGATCTAGGTTTTGGTTTGGCTTTTACAAATCATGTGGACAAACTACTGTGGAGAGGACAAATGTGTATATTTAGCCAGACAGTGAAAGAGCACATCCACATGGCCACACGGACGTTTCCAGCGGACGCTCTTCTACAGTGTGTCTGCTCGAAATGTCTGTGCGGCAATTCAAATACAATTTTGGAGTGCTGTCCTAATCTTTTTTCTTGTTTGAACATTCAGCACCCAGTTGTTTTATGCTGAAAGGGAATTGAGCGTGTTTTTTCTATCGTTATCTCTGCTGTTAAAAGTCATGGTGATGCAGCCAAAATAAATTGAATCTGAGTCACTATTTAAAATAATTAACTTAAATTAGATTAGATAACTAACAGGCAGGGCCTTCCAGTTGTGGTCGGCTTTGCCACAGACTACGCCCTGAAACTGTGGAGTTCTGGCAGCAGACAGTCATAGCTTACACTCAGTTACTTTAAATTTCAACCCCTGCCCAAAAGCCTGAAGTCCAAAGTGAAAGTTAGGGACAGAATCATTTGATACTGGACTTCTTTAAAGACAAAATAAACATATAAAGGGGGCTTAGAAAAATGAGTTCTAATTTGGGTTCAGAGGCTTACTTGAGGAGAGTTTGACATGTGGACAAACTGAGTCGGGGTTTAAATTGCCAACCCTGTGAAAAGTTTGATCTTCAGTTTTACCCATCCATTTTTCTGACACACACCTGGAGGGATCTTGCAGACGGTGGCAGGGTGCCAGCCGTAGCGTTGGTTACAGTTGGGGCTCTGAACAAAGATGGCGCTATCGCTGAGACACTCTGCGAACACTTCTCCTCCGATGTAATAAAGCCGCACACCACGTCCTTGAAGAAAACACAGAGAGAACAACAAACTCCTCAGGTCAGGCAGTGAACGTACGAAGTCATGAAGTATCTATCTATCGAAATGTAGAGTAATGTCTGAGTTGGAACTGGAAGAGACATTAACTGAAATATCTTATCCACATTAAATCTCACCAATATGTCTGCGTGTCAACTCCACAGCTGCGTTGCGGTTGACATTGGACAACAGGCCCAGGCAGAAACGCTCTGAGTTGGAGGGGTCCGTGAAGCCGTCCACTGTCAGCGAGGGCTGTGAGGCGTGGAAGGTCTCTCCTACTCGCTGGTTTAACTCGTAGTAGGAAATCGAGCACCAGAAGGCCGGCTCACAGTATGTCACAGGTTGAAGGTCTGGCACAGAGAGAAGGAAGACGATACGGTTTTCTTTTATGGAAATCAGAATGCAGATTTGGTCAAGAGAAAAGAGAATTAACTGAAGCTTTCAGGGTGGCTGTGAATAGACTGAATTGTGCTGATCTATTTATCATTTAATGTTTGAAATAAAATAAAAGCAAAGAAACAAGTTAAGAGACAAGATTATCAGGCTAAGAGTGGGAGCTAATCAAAGAAATATTTTAACATATCGATGGAAATGAAGAAAGAAGTAATTGATGAAAAAAACAAAAAGGGGCAAAGTGGGGTACTGAAGGGGCCTTGAGGGACGCAGGGGGAAAACTCACCACCAAAGAAAACACACGACTGAGCTTGCGTCACCAAATGTCAAACCCATACGCTATTTCCCAGAAGCTTTCAGCAGACAAATGTGGAAACTCAACCCTCACTGGTGGACGCTTGAGCCAAAACGGTCAAATTACATGCTTATCCTTGATAATTTTCTGAAACTTTAACTGGTTCTGGTAATTTGCTCTTTTCCCTTGTCCTTGGCTTTGAAGTCCAGAGGAAGCTGCCAAATGAAACTGGTGTGATTTTTGTTATTCACCAGTACCTCTCTGTCCAAGCCCCCCAGCGTTTTTCCATCCTCATGGAATAAACTTAAGATATTGTCATTGATGTTAGTGTGGGCTGAATGCTGGGCTGGCCTGTTAGGCAGCTCACATGCAGCAGAGAAGACAAAGACGTCTTTCATCACCTGGTTTCCTCTTACAGAACTGGAGTGAAATCAAACAGAGAATTCCCACTGGGGAGACACACTATAGAAACATTTGTCTGTAAGTGAAGGAAGACAGACTGATAAGAACACAAACACACACCTAAGCGCACACACACACACACACACACACACACACAGACACCCAGCCCTTACCTAAGTTGCTGTGTGTGGGTGAAACAGGGTTAGGTGACAGGTTTGGGGAGCTCGTGTCCATGCTGTGGGTCATCTGGTGATCGCTGGTCTCTCCATCCTCACTGAGGTAGCCTGGTGGAGGCGTTTCTAAGACGGAGACGCACACCAAGAAAACAACTCAATATGTTTGTTGCCAAGTATGCTACGATAAATATGCATGTGTATTAAAACTGTGAATATCTACAAAGAATAACATTACAAACACGTTAACATCAATAGCAGAAAAACTCTCGATTACTTGACATTTGTATATGACTCTTACAATAAATGGAAATCTGATTCTTTACAGAAACATGTTTCAACAAAAAAACACCTGATCAGCGTTTTATCCTGGTTGGTTAGAAAAATAATTAAGCCATGTGAGATAACAATTTATCTGCTTAAATATCTCAATATCTATACTCAACTTATCATTATAGGACAGTAAAGAAACTAAAATAACTTTAATTACAGAATGTTATTTTGTCTTAAAAAAAATGTATAATCCAAAATCAAAAAAAGCTAGAAACAAATGTTTCAGTTGACAAACGATTGTTGAAGTCCTAGAAAGGTGTACAAGAACCTAACGATGATTTGGGAAGTGAATCATTTTCGAACAATGCACAGAAAGTCGTTATTTGAAGTCACTCAGAATCTCAATTTTTGGGGGATAATGTCTAAAATCAAGAAGCACAAAAAGAGGCTTGCCAGTGTTCAATTAGCAACTAGCTTGATGTTGGTCAAGACTCCGAACAATATGAACATCTCCTGGTCCACAAGATGCTTTTTATTTTTTAGAAAAGAAGATTCAGTGACGTACAATGTTAATGGATACCATTTCGATATCGCTGATAATCAGATTTGATGTATCTGAGTGTGAGTGCTGTTATACTGGTACCTGGTATGTAGTTGCTCTGGGGTTCGATGCCAGCAGGGAAGTTTGTGTTTTCGGGGATTGAATGGCTGTAGTCATCCAGAGGAGGGAACTCACTGGGGATTTCTGTGTGTCTGGGCACCAGCACAGGTGGGAGTACTGCATGATGGATGGAAAAATACACACACATACCACAAGAAGCTCTTTAGAACATTGATGTCAGGTCAGGAAAATATAAATAATTATGTTATACAACACTATTTAAAAACAGAACGATGCGATACAATCAAACAGAGTTAAGTGCAGTGAATCAAAGATTAACAGGTTAATCCCTTGAGATCAAACTGTCAAACTTTTTTCCCATCATCCAACAAAAGAGTAAACACACTTCAAGCTGCCGTACCTGGGGTTTCCACTCTCTGGTAGTGGTACGGGTTGACACACACTTCATCCTTCTTGGTGTGGAAGGCGTACTCACACAGCTCCACCGCACGCAGCTCATGGTGGGACTGCAGGTCGGGCCAGCGCCACAGACGGCAGTAAATGACATGTGGGAGACCTTTCCTGTGGGAAACCTGCAGACGGCCATCAAGAGACCTGCAGACAAGTGGAGAGGAGGAACAGCAGAGAGGCTTGTTGAGAAGTTTGAACTACAAATGAGTGCGTTTTTAAGAATATGGCTACTTAACTTGATTTTATGCAAATAATTCACAATCCCTTCATTCTTCATCACAGGTTATTCAATTCTTTGATCCCCTCTTCATATATAGAGTGTGTGTTTTTTATAATGAGCGTTATAATGATACCAATATATTTGAGGACTATCACATATATTTCTTTTTTCAAGGTTATTGATCATGAGATTATTTCCCAAGGTGTTTAATACTTGGCAGCCCTGAATGATCAGTTGTGACAGCCTATCGCTTTAGTATGAACCCGTTGTTTTATGTTGCAAACCGACACACGAACCAAGTCCATGATTGGAAAGTTTCTTTTCAACCTAGCGCTGTCGCTGACATTGTCCAGGATTCTAATTTTTTTAAGTATGACTTCTTATTTAAAGAAACTCAGTCCTGCACACCATATCAGCTTTTAGGTGCAGTGTTTAAATCTGGGCTTTGACACTTCCTCCTGCTGACGAGGGTCCCAGCTGTGTGTGGACCGGCTATGAGCTGATGTTTAATAATAAACAACCCAGAATGAGATTACAATATGTACAGCAGGGATTTCATTGTGTTGTATAACATCTGCACTCATCTGGTAAACAACACTGCTGGCAGGATGATAACACAGGCTGCCGGATAGAAATGAGCGCTAGCTTTATGCTGCAGATCATCATAACGGGGACGTACCCTGTAATCTCTGAGCACAATGACCCATGAAAGAGGGGAAGAAAAAAAAAAAACACTAATCATCTTATGCAAGAGGAAACATCCCCATATGCCCCTTCTATCTCAACACTGGCTCACCCTCAAACACAAACACAGAGTCAGGGTCAAAGTCATGAGCTAAAGCCCCCTTAACAGGACAAACGTCTGTCCACAAATAAAAGCAGGGCTCTGTGCAGTCTTACTACTGAGAGCCTCATCTGGGTCAACTATTGTACACCCAGCAAGCTGAGAGGGGTGCTTTAATTTTTTATGGCAAAAGCTTTCATTTACTGGCTTTAAAAAAGGGGGCTGGAATGGGTGTGTGTTGGAGGGGGGTTCTTGAATTTGTCTGAGAATGGTACTTCATGTTCACACAAGCATACAGTAGAAGACAGTTTAAGGAAGAAAATGGGGTAAACTGGAGAAGCTTCAGATCTAAAAAAAAAAAAAAACATCCTAAAATTCTGTGAGTAAAAGCAGGCATGCTAATGTCAAGTTAATTCACACCATGTATCTGAATGCGAAAGTGCAATTATAAGGAACCAAATGCAATAAGAAGTCTTTTACAGGGTTTTGGGGACTTGTATTTTGGTGGACCGGTAGCCACCATGAAGCTGTGTTCAGACCATAGACTATAGGGACAGAGTGTCCCCTTCCTGATGAACAAGATGAAGCCAGAATATCCCTGAGGTGGGTGCTGCTGACATATTGCTAATTTGCAACCAGAGTCTGAGCAGTAGGGAAGAAGCATGGTATTGAGCTCATCCTGCTTCGGCTAACAAAAACACACATCTAACGTAAAAAATCCCCAAGGTGTGTACAGTCCTCAGCGGATCAGATTCCTGTGTTGCTTTCAAGCAGATGCTCACGGTAATAGAAATTCAGTGACTCACTTGCACACAACTCTGAGGGGGCCACAGGAGCCACACAGAGCTGTCAATCACGGCATTTTATAAAAATGTATAGCGTCAACTAACCAATTCAAAAGAAACTTCTAATGAATGACGTGAACATAAAATGGCACAATAACTATCACGACAATATAATCTGTTAATATAGAGGAGGCAGGGTTTTATGACCTTCACTGCAGCCAGTCAGCAGGGGGAGCACTTTGGTTGGGCTGTATCCAAATTTTGATATAGTTAAATCTCCCCTTACATTTTTCCGGTGTATTACCCTGACGAATTCAATTTCTTTTCTTTTGTGGTAATGAAACAGATACCTTGGCTTTACAAAAATACCATGGGATACCTTATTACCGTTTTACCGCCCAAACCTAGGGAGCACTAAATCTTCTGGCTTCACTCCCAGACAGATGTTGCTAAGTCCACCTTAGTATACACTCTATGGTTCAAACCATAAGCAGGGGTATGTTGCATCGTCAGATACTTGTTTGAGTTTGAAAATAGGGTAATTTATGTTTATCCGTTTGTTAAGCATGACATGAATATTCATATATGTTGGTAAACAAAACCCTGTTGTGTCTGGGTTCACTACATCAACCTTAGGAGCTTGGTTATTTTTTTACAACCTCCTATAAGAACAGTCTGATTTAACTTGATGCTTCCAGCTACTTGAGGCAAGACAGAACACAGTTTTTTACCTTGTTAGGTTGGTTGGGCTTGGCTCAGCTGGAATTCTCAGAAGCAATTAAACTACCAGCATAATGTTTTAGTCACAAATTGTGGACCAATCTGTTGAGGGTGAATGCAGCTGGTGTGACTTGGTGTACATATCTCTGCAGTAGGCTATTGTAAAAAAAGAGATGGCCAAAATATCTACATCATGATGCAGATTTTAAGAGGGTACAACTTCATGCTATGAGAGTTTGTCAGCAGCAGGACTAGCAAACAATTTTTAAAATGTACTTTTTTATCCAGTGTACAATCAGTATGAGCATCAGCAACATCAAGCAGTGTATTATCCCTAGTACTGACACACCAAAAAGATTATACGATATAAGATTATACACAAATAAAAACCTTTTGGATCTTGTGTAAACGGTAATATTGTGAGGGATTCCACATGAAACACAGCAGCAAAAGCTGGATCAAAGAACTCCCAGACTAAATGCCTTTAAATCAAACATAAACAACAGCTCTACTCGGCTTCTCATCTTCACTTTGGGAGAAAACATTCAGCAAAACTGAAAGATTTGGATAATTCAACACAGTAAACAAAGAAACAGGGACACCTTGTGCTGTTATGCGATCAAGTGGAGAGGATTTTAAGGCTCATTTAAGGCTGCAGATATTAAGCTTTTTTTTTTTCTTTAATGTTTCTGTGTAAGTGTTCATGAAAGCCTTGAGTACTTGTGACCGCAGTTCCTCTTTTCTATTGCAGCTTTCCGGTGCTTGGAATATATTCTTCTGATTTATTGGGGCTGTTTCCTTTTACCACATTGAGCAATTTTGCACAGTTTGACATGAGCTAGAGAAGCTCAGGCCTTTCAGTGAGTCTCTCAAATGCCTAGATTGTCACTTCTAACTAATAAAATGACTGGCTTTTCACTGTTGGACTCACTTTAAAACTTTGTTTTATAACTGATGCAGTCACTTTAAAACTTTGTTTTATAAGTGATGGACAAATAAAAAATATAAAGACATAGCAGCTTTGAAGTTTCTCAAAAGAAATCACAACGGGATCTACACACGAGTGATAGGAAATGGAGATGAAGACACGAGGGACACACATCAAAATTGCATTTGCAAAGAGGAACAGCAATCACATGTACTGAAAAAATGAGAAGATATTTACAACATCATAAACAAGCCTCAATGCTGGAAAATACCTTCAAAGTATCCACTAAAGTGCATTCTGATCCTAGAACAGATAGTATTCACTACTGGGTTAATGTGGTTAGGGGTTCCCTCACCTTTTTTTTACACAAAAAGTAAAATTGAGGATGTGTCCGACAGAGGTGATCTGATGTCAGAGGAATGTGTGTTAGGTCCTGCAGCTGAGTGGGTGTTCTGTGGGGCGAGACTCTGCGTGGGCAGAGACAGACATGCACAAACGGCAGTGGCATCACTGTCCTCCCGAAGTATAACGTCCCTCTTTTCATAAGGCCCTTTCCTGTCAGTGATTTTTTTTTCCCCCTCATTTTTAAACGTTTACAGTAAAAAGTTCAGCATGAGTCACACTAATAAGCTGAACCACATACTATATAAGCGGAACATCACAAAAGAGGATCTTCACTCTACCGGGAACAACCAATATGACTTTTTATACCATAATTAATAGTCCACAGCCAATCAGTCATGTTGGAACACAGAATGGGATGTAATGCTTTATATCATCCACTTGATTTACTTGAAGTGGAAAAATGAAACCGTTCAAAACAAGCCTGACATCCCCAAGAAAATATGGAAAAAGAAAAGACATGTTTAAATGCAGACGTTAATATAAATGTAGCATTGTTCGAAGAAACAAAGGTCAAATCCAGAGGGGCAATCAGCAGAAGATGCATGATATTTATAAGATTATGTATTTAATGTTTCTAAATTTGAAGTTTGAATGAATAGCCACATGTAACCAATACCAGTTTCATAAATGGCTCCAGAATGGCTGGACATACAGGATCAGTATCAGCACAAGCAGGTCTTTGCACTGACATGTTACTGTTTTTTGATCAGCACAAGATAAAATGGCAGTGTTTCACCAGAAAATCATTCCTTTGTTTGAGTTTCCAAACCAACTGTTAACACGGCAAGCTGCACCATTGGCTGCTAACTCGGATTCATCATTGGCTACCAACTAAAACTACTGTTTCATGGCATAGAAGAAGAGCTGAATGCAGGACATGTATTAACTGATGATGTGAAACAATCAATGTGATGATCGCTGAGAGGAAATGCAAATTTCAGCAATTTAAAGATATTTTGAAAAAAAACTACAATGAAAGAAAGATGAGTAAGCAAGGCCTCAGTTTTCAGTTTGGATGGAGTAATACAATTGTTGCAAGACTAGTGTAGGTCATCAGCGGTGTTTTTTTTAAAAGTATTATTAATGTTTTATGACCCTGGAATCAGACTGAAACTATTAATATAGAGAAAGGAAACTGGTGATAGAAAATCTCTACAAGAGGAATAAGCAAACTTGAAGATTTTGCAGACTTCTTCTTCAATCCTTGTCAAATTATCTTTTTTAAAGCTTTATTTTTGGGCTTTGTATGCGCCTATTATTAATGTTGAAAGATACGATACGATATGATACACTTTATTGTCC